ATATATATAAATAATATGTTACTGTGGTTTTGGTGAAAGTTAACACAGCAAGTTAGGTTCCCATTCGACAATTTCTACACAAATTATTCAGTGACATTAGCTACATTTTTCACAATTTGTCAGCATTCTCTTTAACTGTGTTCTGGTTGTTCTGTTTTCCATTGCTCTTAGTTTCCATGCTCCCTTATCTCCCCCTCTTTGCTTTAGAGTAATTGTTGACCTTTTGGTCTCAAATAGATGGTTTTTTAATAGAGCACCATACTCACAGGTAATATTCCTTTATTTTGTGTACCTGTCTATTATTTCCATAAAAGGTGACCTCGGGATAGTTTCAGTTCAAGGTTTAAAGAGTATCTCATGGTGATAGTCTCAGGGAGTCTTCTAGTCTTAACTGGACTCTTAAGTCTGGACTTTTTAAGAATTTGAGTTCTGTTCTGCGTTTTTCTCCCCTTCTTTCAGGGTGCATTTACTGTGGCCCTGATCAGAACAGTTGTTATTGGTAGCTGGGCACCATCTAGTTCTTTTGGTCTCAAGGTAGATTAAGGCCGTGGCTTGTGTAGGCTATTAGCCCTGTAGACTAGTTTCTTTTTTGGTTTCCATCTTTCTCTTTTCCTCCTGATGAGTAGAGACCAATAGGTGCATCTTAGATGGCTACTTGCAAGCTTTTAAGACCCCAGATACTACTCACCTCACTAGGATGCAGAACATGAACTTTGTGAGCTATATTATGCCAATTGACTGAGTTGTCCCATAAGACTAAGGTCCTAAGCCTTCAAACCCAGAAAACCAATCTCACAAGGTGTTTAGTTATGTCTCAGAAGTATCTATAACTGTGTCCTCTATGAATATATATGCATGCGTACACGTATCTGTACATACACATACATATACTTCTATCTGTGGACACATTTGTACACATGTACCTGCCTATACACATATATGCCTGTACACCTACATATGTGACCTACACTTGATTTTTGGTTATTGTTGGGGTTGTTGCCAAATTATATATGTCATATTCTTTAGCACAAATATCCTTTTTTCTCTTAGTGGCATTGTTTACTTTGGTCAAGCTGTGCTCATTACCCCTTGGGGCCCCAAGAGGCACAGCCCAGGTTATACTCCAGAAATGCCCTGAGCTTTCTGTGTGGCCCAGGGCAGCCTATTACCCTCTCTGAAACAGGGCCTCCCTATCTGCAACCTGAGGGCATGGACCAGATGAGCCCCATGGGCCTTTTGGCTCAGCCCTTTGGGATTAGGCAGGCAGATACCTACCCAACCCTACCACTGATCATTTCCATGCAGCAGCCTGAGGGATCTTTCTAAGGCATAAGTCAGACCCTGTCGCTCCTCTTGCCCTGGCGTCACCTGTAAGGCCCTGCCTCACCACTGCCCACCTGTCCAGGCTCACCTGACACACCCTCCTTGTGACCTTCTGCTCACCACCTGGCCTTGTGCACAGGCTGTTCCTGCTACCTGTAGTGCTATGCCCCTACTCTTTGCCCCTTAACTCTTCTTACTCTTCAGGCCTCCACTACAGCATCCTTTTCTCAGAATACTCGCCTCTCCCCATCTACACTAGGATGCTCTTATAGCACTCATGACACCTCATGCTTCTCCGTTAGGACATGCATCAGTTACATGTCACTGGGGAAATGATGTGAGCAATGTCTCCCGCCACTAGACTGTCAGCTGCACAAAGGCAGGGACCTAGCCGCCTGGTTCCCTGCTAGAGCAAAGCCTGGCATACACAGATGCTCAATAAATGCCATCTGAGTGAGTGCCTCTGTGCATGTCTGTGTGTGTGTATATGTGCTTGGGGCCGTGTGTGGTCCTAGTGAGACCACAGCAGAAGTTGAATGCACGGGCCAGCAACCTCTGGTGTCCATTTGCTTGAGAGTGATGCAGGGTGGGGGCTCCCTGCATGCTTCCCTATCGCACTAGGTACTCAAGTGGTTAATTTAATGACTGTCTCTCCACTAGACTGTCAGCAACCTGAGTGCAAGCACATCTTCTGTTTGACTCTCTTTTATATCCGTGATACCTGGAACAGTGCTTAGCTCATACTATTGTGTGGCTCAACTATTGTCAGATGGATGTGGCTCGAACTATTGTCAGATGGGTGGGTGGGTGGGTAGATGGGGGAGTGGAGATCCCAAGTCTCTCAACCTGCCCTTAGTATTTGTCTTTGCGGCTGCCCCAGGCATGGTCCTCTCTGGACAGAGCCTGGATTTGCAGAAGAAGCCTCTCTATGCCCCATTGTGGATTCCAGTCCCATGTTAGCAGGTCTACATAGGGGCTTCAGGGTTCCCATGGCTGAGGGTAGAGGGAAACATCACTGGGCTGGGGGGAGTCTATCCACCTACCTTGTCCAGGTCATAGAGCATCTGCAGGGGACTCCTTCTTTTCCCACTGAGCCAGCCAGATCCCAGGGCCCTATTTTCAAATGCTGTGGGACACAAGAAGAGATGTGTTACTGCCATATCACACAGACTAGCTGTGGAGGTGGGGGGCCTGGCCAATTCACCTAGGGCACGTTTGACCCACCTCCAGGACCATTTATCCCAAGAATGCAAGGTTGGTTCACTTTATGAAGATTAATCAATGTAAGACACCATATTAATTGAATAAAGGGAAAAAAAATCACATGTCCTGCCTGCCTCCTGGGGCCTTGGTGAAATGTGGGGGGTTAGTACTGGCAGGGATGCTAATCCTCCAGGGAAGGATCCTTGGTGTTACTCCTCCCCCATATCCTGCCCTCTAGAATTGGAGAGTGTCAGACAGGGGATGAGAGGGAAGGTGGTGCTCAGCCCACCAGCACCTCTGGGACGGCCTGACCACCCAACCTCACTCACCTCCACCTGCCCTCATCTTGTGCCCTGCTCTCGTGGAGCCATAAGGGCTCCCCAGGTTGGCTGTCTGTCCAGCCTCCCCAGATCCTAGGGGTGGGTATCCAGAAAGGGCTGGGTGGCAGTGGAGGCAACATGGCCAGGCTGCAAGTTTCACAGGTGACAGCTCCCAGGCTAAGTGACCTGTGGCGGGTCCCTGCGGCAGCCTGCATTTCCCCTGTTGGTGCTGTGCTGCCATGTGGCGAGTGCAGGTTTAATTCTCTGCCCGACTGGAAGCCTCTGAGGGTGGGAACCTGTTTATCTGTCCTCTTGCTGCATTCCCCAGTTTTCTCAAAAATACTGAAAAATAGTTTGTTAAATTTATTCTTTTACCTAAAATGTGTTTTAAGGAATATTTTCTTAGACAAATTAATATGAATATATTCTTACTAATATAGTCACTATAGTTTAAGGATATGTTCATGATCATATGCTTCTGGATCGTAGTTTTCTTGAATATGGTTATATCTATTAATAAATTAATATTGTAATTATAATTCAGTCTTTGAAAAGATCAACCAGATTGACAAACCTTTAGCTAGACTAACCAAGAAAAAAAGAAGATTCAAATTGCTAGAATCAGGAGTGACAGAAGGGACATTACTACTGACTTTACAGAAATAAAGGATTATTTGGGAATACTATGAACAATTGTAAACCAGCAAATTAGATACCTTAGATGAAATGGACACATTCCTGCAAAGATACCCATAAAACCCATTGCTGTCGAGTTGATTCAGACTCATAGCGACCCTATATGACAGAGTAGAACTGCCCTATAGGGTTTCCGAGGCTGTAATCTTTACGGAAGCAGACTGTCACATCTTTCTACCGTGGAGCAGCTGGTGGGTTCGAACTGCTGACCTTTCAGTTTGCAGCTGAGTGCTTATTCACTGTGCTACCAGAGCTCCTTTACAAAGATACAAATTACCTAAATTGACTCAAGAAGAAATAGAAAGTCTGAATAGTTGTATAACAATTAAAGAGATTGAATCTGTGAAAAACAAAACAAAACCTCCCCACAAAGAAAAGCCCCGGACCAGATAGCTTCCGGGGCTGGGTGGTGGTGGGGGATGTTTAATGAAGAATTAGCACCAATCCTTCACAAACTCTTCTGAAAAACAGAAGAGAACACTTCCCAATTCATTCTATGGGCCAGTATTACCCTGCTACCAAAACCAAAGAAAGACATCACAAAAATAAATAAATAAAACTACAGACCACTACCCCTTATGAATAGGGAGTCAAAAATCTTCGACAAAGTACTTGTAAACCAAATTCAACAACATATAAAAAGGATTATACACCATGACCAAGTGGGATATATCCCAGGAATGCAAGGTTGGTTCATCATACGAAAATTAATATAATGACACCATATTAATAGAGTAAAGGAAGAAAATCACACAATCATCTCAATAGATGCAGAAAAAGCTTTTCACAAAAATCCAACACCATTTCATGATAAAAACACTAAACAAACTAGGAATAGAAGGGAACTTCATCAAACTGAGAAAGAGCATCTACAAAAAATCCACAGCTAACATCATACTTAATGTGAAAGACTGAAAGCTTTTTCCCATTGATCAGGATCAAAACAAGAATGTCTGCTCATGCCACTTTTATTAAACATTGTACTGGAGGTTCTAGCCAGGGCAGTTAGGCAAGAAAAAAAAAAGGTGTCCAGTTTAGAAGGGAAGAAGTAAAATTATCTCTATTCACAGATGATGTGATCTTCTATGTAGAGAATCCTAAGAAATCCACTAAAAATATTAAAGTTAATAAACAAGTTCATCAAGATGCATAAGATCAATATACAAATATCAATTATATTTCTATATACTAGCAGTGAGTAAAGGAGCCCTGGTGTGCAATGGTTAAATGCTCAACTGCTAACTAAAAAGTCGGCAGTTTGAACCTGCCAGCTGCTCCATGGGAGAAAAGACCTTTGATCTGCTCCTGTAAAGACTACAGCCTAGGAAACCCTATGGGGTATTTGTACACTGTCCTATAGGGTCAGTATGAGTTGGAACCACTAGACGGCACACAACAATGGTGAAGATTAATCCAAAAATGAAATTAAGAAAACAATATTCACAATACTAACAAAAAGAGTAAAATAATGAGTAAATTTAATAAAAGAACTGCGAGACGTGTACACTGAAAACTACAAGAAATCATTGAAAGGAATTAAAGAAGACCTAAGTAAGAAGAAATACAGTTCATGTTCATGGACTGGAAGACTTAATATTAAGATGGCAATACTCTCCAAATTGATCTAACAATTCAGTGTAATCCCCATCAAAATCCCAGCTGCCTTTTTTTTTTCTTTTTTTTTTTTTGCAGAAATTGACAACTCATCCTAAAATGTATGTGGAAATTCAAGGGATCCAGAATGTACAAAGCAATATTGAAAAAGAACAAATAGGACTCACACTTACCAATTTCAAAACTTACTTCAAAGCTACAGTGATCAAGTTGTGATCAAGACTGGCAAAAGGACAGACATATAGATCAATAGATTAAATAGAATTGAGAGTTCAGAAATAAACCCTTACATTTATGGTCAGTTGATTCTCAATGAGGGTGCCAAGACAAATCAATAGGGAAAGAGTAGTGTTGTTGGAGCCACTGAGTCAATTTAGACTCATAGTGACCCCATGTGACACAGTAGAATTGCCTCATAGGGTTTTCTAGGCTGTAATCTTTGAGGGAGCAGATCGCCAGGTCTTTCTCCCACGGAGCCACCAAGTGGGTTCCAACACCAACCTTTCGGTTAGCAGTCGAGCATTTAACGTTGCACCACCAGGGCTCCTTGGGGAAGAAATATTTTTTAAAATGAATAGTGCTGAGACAACTGGAAATCCACATGTAAAAGAATGAAATTGGATGCTTACCTTACACCATATTAAAAATTAACTCAAAATAGATCATAGGCCTAAATATAAGAGCTAAAACTATAAAACTTGGGTTAGAGGATGATGTCTTAGATATGACACCAAAAGTACAAGCAGCAAAAGAAAAAAGGTAAACAGGACTTCATAAAAATTGAAAACTTTTGTGCTTCAAAGGATACTATCAAAAAGGTAAAAAGACAGCCTGCAAACTGGGAGAAAATATTTGCAAATCATGTATCTGATAAGGTACTAAACCAAAAACCAAACCAAACCCGTTGCCATCGAGTGGATTCCGACTCACAGTGACCCTATAGAACAGAGTAGAACTGCCCCATAGGGTTTCCAAGGAGCGGCTGGTGGATTTGAACTGTTGACCTTTTGGTTAGCAGCGAAGCTCTTAGCCACTGTGCCACCAGGGATCCGATAACGGACTAGTATTCAGACTATAAAGACCTCTTACAGCTAAACAATAAAAAGACAAATAACCCAATTTAAAAATGGGCAAAGGATTTGAATAGATATTTCTCCAAAGAAGATATACAAATGGCCAATAAGTACATGAAAAAATTCTCCTTATCTTTCGCCATCAGAGAAACCACAATGAGATACAACTACATTCACTAGGATGGCTATAATAAAAAAGACACAATAAGAGGATGTAGAGAAATTGGAACCCTCATCCCTTGCTGGTAGGAATGTAAAATGGTGCAGCTGCTGTAGAAAACATTCTGGCAGTTCCTCAAAAAAGTTAAACATAGAGTCACCATGTTGTTGTCAGGTGCCATCGAGTTGGTTCTGACTCAGCATCCTCTGTACAGCAGAAGGAAGCACTGCCTGGTCCTGCACCATCCTCACAATTGTTGCTGTGTTTGAGCCCAGTGTTGCAGCCACTGTGTCAGTCCATCTCCTTGAGGGTCTTCCTCATTTTCACTGACCCTCTACTTTACCAAACATGATGTCCTTCTCCAGGGACTGGTCTCTCCTGATAACATGTCCAAAGTATATGAGACATAGTCTCGCCATCCTCGCTTCTAAGGAGCATTCTGGCTGTATTTCTTCCAAAACAGATTTGTTCATTCTTCTGGCAGTCCATGGTATATTCATTATTCTTTGCCAACACCGTATTTCAAAGGCATCAATTCTTCGGTCTTCCTTATTCATTCTCCAGCTTTCATGTGCATATGAGGCAATTAAAAATACCGTGGTTTGGTCAGGTGAACCATAGTTCTCAAAGTGACATCTTTGCTTTTTAACACTTCAGAGAGGTCTTTTGCAGCACATTTGCCCAATGCAATATATTGTTTGATTTCTTGACTGCTGTTTCCATGGGAGTTGATTGTGGATCCAAGTAAGATGAAATCCATGACAACTTCAGCATTTTCTCTGTTTATCATGATGTTGCTTATTGGTCCAGTTGTAAGGATTTACAGGTGACACAACCTAGCTTGCTGAAATTGAAGAGGACTTGAAGCACTTACTGATGAAGATCAAACACTACAGCCTTCAGTATGGAGTACACCTCAGCATAAAGAAGACAAAACTTCTCACAACTCAATGGCACCTGACAACAATAGCAACAGAGGCTGTTGGGGGAAAATGCAGGATGATTGTTAAAGGCTAGTGTTCTAGAATTATACAGTGGTGATGGCTGCACAACTTTGTGAATGAGCTAAAAATCAGTGAATTATATACTTTAAGAGTGAGTTTTATGACATGAGAATTGTATCTCAATAAAGATAAATAAAAATATTGATTGTAAAAAGGAATATATTCAAGAACATTTT